AAAAAAAAAAAGCAATCCGAACTCTGAACCACTATTTATAACAAATGCATAAGTACAGAAATATCTAGGTCCACATTTGCCGATACTACAGATATATACTATGTACTTATATATAGAAGATATAAAAATACTGCTGGAATTTCAGATTTTAAAGTACATATAACCCAAATCTTACTCGAACTACAGTTTATTCTTACTTGTTATGAAGCTTTGCCCCACCGATCGTCAAGAAGTCAATTTTTTCTGCATTTCTGGGTAGGTCCACTTTTTTATGTATACATATAAACTTGACTCGTTTAGCTCTGTTGGACCACACGATGGCCCAATGCCGTACGTCAATATGGCGGATAAAGCGAAGCATACACGAGGGCAACACGATTGCTGTCGGCCATCTGTCGGCTCATGACGTTTCGTATGCGCCTATTCCCTCGCACCTGGTTTTCTGACTTCTTCCAGCACATGACCGGCAATTTAGGCAACGAAGCAAATGCTGTCGAACAAGTCGGCCGAGCTGCAGCATTGAAAAAGAAAATTTTTTGTTTGTACGACAAAGCAAAATTCGTCGCCATATTGAATACGAAGTGAGTGGTGTCAAGTTGTGTAGTGTACAGAGAAAATTTTGCAGATTTTCATTTTAACTTGGAATTTGCAAACAAATTTTAGTGAATCAACAATTAAGCACAACTAGTTCGTGTATATGTATTTGTATGATTGAATGTGTTTTAGTAACACATTTTAGTGGTAAACATTAAGAATACATACATACATATATGTGTAGTGATAAAATTGGCTCTTGTTAAGCATACGTCGATCGATGTGTGTGCGTGTGTAAACGGCCGGGACTGTGCTGGAGTGAAAAAAATTGTTCACAAGTACCTATTGTTTGCACCTTGTTGTTAAGTTTATCTGGGAAGATTGCGCTGCATAGGAGTGTTCGTCGTCAGTTTTCTTGAACATAACCTATAATTGCGTGTGGCGAGATGGAGGCGAGCACCACATCAGCGGCGGCTCCGACGCAGGCCTCTTCCAATGACCAAGAAGGTAAGAGGCGTTGCCAGAAACATTTGACAACGTCAAGTTTATATATATTTATGAGTTGTAATTAAATGTTTATCCAAATGGCTAATATTGCAGTATGCAATATAGGTTTTGAGTTGACTGAATATACATACATCCGTATCTCTATGTGCGTTTGGGCTAAATTTGAGCCTAAAAGCTTTCCAAGGCTTCTGGGAACGGACCGACAAGGAGTTACTAAGCTATATTTTAGTGTCTTCTTGGATGGATGAAATGTCATGCATACAAAATTTTATTTAGAAGAAAGTTATGCATTTTGGTATAAGTTTATAAGCTGAAAATTATTCTTTTGTATTAGAGTGGCATCTTGGTTGTTGCCCAGCTTTATTAAATTCGCCGCGTCCATATCGATGTAGCAAGATTTCGAACCATAATAGAGTTGTATTTCGGCTATCTAATTCACGAAGACATTCTACCGCCATATTAATTTTTAGCAAAAACACAAACCGTTCATACAGAGTTGTATTTTGTTAGCTGCAATAACCCTTGATATGCTCGCTAGATGGCGCGCATAAATTATTTGGACTTTGGAATGTATTCAAACGGATCCACTTTCGATCATTGCGCCGATATCTAAATTCGAAACTTTGAGACAACATAACCCTGAAATCGTCGCCTCAGAACACTAATGGTGTATATCCGTCAATTCAATCAACTACATAATTCACAATTTAAAAAAAAATAAAAGCTTACGGCCATTTTTTTCAGCGCCAGTTTAAACTTACTTTAAACTGCGTTTAGACAACTACAGAATTCATATTTCTTGAAAATATGTTTACAATTCTACAATTAATGGACAAGTGAAACATAAAACTACGGTGATTAATCTCTGCAATCCCTGATCATGTCTCTAATCTTTGACTAATCCTTACTACTTACTCTAGAAATCCTTACTACTTAGATTGACTCTTACATACATATATATTAGTGTTTGGCCGAGCTTTTCCTCCGATTTGTGGCGTGCTGTTTTTCATGGCAGAAATACTTTGGAGGTTTGCCAGTGACTGCCAAGGGGCGACCGCTATTAGAAAAAACTGTATATTTTTTATGTTAGTAGGAACGTAGGCTTGAACCCAGACCCTACTGAGTGGTACCGCGCAATGCTACCTTTAGATCAAAGCGGCCGCCATGGATTAAACAAAGATTAGAAACCTAAGCCACTGCCATAACCATGGTAAGCTGATTTCGGTTCATTATTTTTCTAACAAACGACGATGTTGTAACTGCAGACAAATTCACCAAAGAGTTACTGGGGAGTGTTTCAGAAGTGACAGTCCTTGGCCAGATATAAATCTGGGTTGTTCCATTTGCGTAGACCCGACCGTCGTGGCAACAACGACGATCAACTTTTCATCTGAACGATCTCTTGATTTTGGAATATCCTTATCAAAAATATTTGTTATTTTCGAAATAACGCATTCTACTAAAAAAATGCACATTTGACATATGTATACATACATATATACATATCGCAGCGTTGCGCGTATTATTAATTGCATTCCAGATGCTTAATGATTTGCGGGTTTTACAGGATTTGCAGGAAAATCTGTTTTCTCCATTAATAAACTTTATGGAAGGTGGTCACCTGGAACGACTTCCTGTAAAAAGCTGCAAATCGTGAAGTATCTGGAACGCAACTATTGAAAGTCTCACGTTCGGTGTGAATATCTAGCAACGTTTTATCAGTTGGGAAAGTTGCAACAATATTGCAAATTTTCATGAGCTCTGCAGTATTTCGGTTTTCATTTCGTACCTCGAGCAGGCCCGTATTTTGACAAAAACCACTTGTCTCGAGTTAGACGTTTTTCTTTTTAAAGCAATATTTCATTGGATTCCAAAACATTATTTTGACGTTTAACTAGCCAAATGGGTAATTTAAGATTCCCCTTATATATGTAGTAGCTTGTTGATGTTAGCTGTTAGTTGCGACCTGTTGAACTTCCGCGGGCGCATCGCAGAAAGCTTTTTAACTACAAACCATACCTTGTCAAGGGATGACAGAAATTTGTTTCATATGCCTTATGCAAAAAAACTTAAAACTCATAATTTCTTCAGAAAATTGCTTTCGTAATGTAAACCACCCTTAATTCAAACAAGTAATTTTTAGCAAAAAAAAACCGACTTCAACTCTCATATAAAAAAAATATATATATATATCTCATGATCCACTGATCGGATCTTAACCAGATTAGTATGGGCCCACCTCTGAGACACTACCTTTCCGATGCAAAAAGAATTGTCGAAATCGGTTGACGTGGTCCAAAGTTATGCGGAAAAAAAAAAAAAAGATTCCGACGAACTGATAACCTCCTCCTTTTTTGGAAGTCGGTTAAAAAGAGGTGCATACCAAGTAGCTCAGTTGGCCCTCTTTAGCTCACAACAATATGTCTGTGATATTTAATAAGGATTAGAAGCATGTGCCACTGTTCAGTAGTGTAGGGT